CAATGCAATAATATTTTACTGTCAACTGATCTACCAACAGCCTATTGCTAATCTACTGACAACCTACCAACAACCACTCAATACCCTATCTACAATTCCACTACTATAATCTACCATACCCCCTCCCCCCAAATCCACAAAGGATTTTTTTAAAAGACCCCCCTGACCCGGGAAATTTCAATTTTCTTCCACATTTTGTTCTGACCCTGCCGCCCCTCGGAAATTCCAAATTCTTCTGTGTGTGGGTGTGTGGGGAGGGGGGAGGGAGGGGGAGGTTGGTGGGGGATAATTTCTGGAACTGCACAACCTACAATTATTACTTACTAGTTTTGTCCAGTCATATCTAAAAGTTTTTCATGGATGACTTTTGCAACCTCAAAACTGTGAAACAAAAAAAGTAGAAAAACAAAGTTTTGAGAAAAGAAGATAAATGAATAGAAATGCAAAAGTTAATTTTAGCGTCAATCATGATACCTTAAGTAGAACCTGCAGAATCAATCAATAAAAAATTTGCTTTAATATCAGCCTTAGTTATTCTTTACAATTGAAATTACAGATGTTTCCTAAGCGATTCTTTTATGTTTGATGCTTAAACTACAGTAGAAACTGTATTAAGCAGCCACCCTTTGAGATTGTCAAGTGGCTGTTAAAAATAGAGGTTGGTTGCTTGGCAGAGGTATAATTACCACAGTTTTCAGTTTTCTGTTACTCATGGCTAGCCTCAACTTTGTGCAGAATATTCATGTGTTCCAGTCAAGGTCCATGAAATTTCAAAGAGTTTGTATATAAATAGAGGTTGGTCACTAAATGGAGGTTAACCACTTTATAAGTGGCCATTTAATAGAAGCTCTGCTGTACATAGGTTTTACTCTCTTTCTAAGCCAAATCGATATCAAAGCCCTGAAACATCGTAAAATGTATGAAGTAATAAAGATTCTAATTTCCTTTTTTCCTTTCACTCTCATTAAAGACAAACTTTTTTTGAAACAACTGTAACAGATTTGGTACAACGCATCTGGAAAATATCTTAAAAATCTAGTTTTGATAACGGTGGACTAGTACATGTACTGTATGATTAATATTTGTGAAGTTTTCTAATAATTTACCAAAAAAATAGCTCAAAACCCAACTTTGCTTTTATAACACCAGTCGACGTGTATTGCTTTTTCGTTTCACTTATTTAATGCATTTTTTATTCATTATGACAAACCTTTTTGCAGAAGTTACAGTATATACTATAATATATCCATGGATGCCCATGGAATAAGACTGTGGAAATATTGAATATTCATCCTATAAAGAAAGAAGTTTATGATTAATTGAATGAGCTTTCATTGGGTATTTTGAAATCAGTAAAAAATACAAAATAATTACCACACTTGGAAAAATATGTTAAAATTAGGAAAACTGCAAGTTTGAAGTAAGTAAGTTCAATGAACTTGTGAAAGTAAATTTTTTTGAAGAGAGTGTGAATTTTGTAAAAAACCCTTTTGTGGTACTAGGCATTACCAACAAATGTTTTTATACAAAACTTTGATTTTTTGAAAATATTGTTATCTTTCTGATTTTGGAATTCCTTCCTTCAAACTTCACAGTTTTAATAATTCTAGAATGCTATGGTAATTATTCTTCTGTCCGGTGAGTTTTGGAGACAGTTCATAACAGTTCATTATACTATGTTAGGAGCAAGAAGAGATAACTAGCTAAAAACTAGTGTGAGCTGTGTCGGTGTTTCTAATGAAACAGTAATGATGAAAAGGTAAATTATACACCGTGAAAAGATGAAAAAACTTACTAAGTAAGTAGTTAGTAAGTTATTCATCTTTTCACAGTGTATAATTTACCTTTTCATCATTTATGTTAGGAGCAGATGTCCACTAATATCGAGCAAAATCAAGAATTCGTGGTTACTGTCAAAATTCCGATTTTGCTCATTTTTGGTTGTGTGATACTTAGAAATTTTGACTGTGACTGGCCGATGCTGGATATTAGTGGACCTTCGCTCTTAATCTTTTGTAAAGAAGGACAGCATTTTGTAAGAACAATGAAGGCTACATGCAGCTGTAAGTCGTAAGTAAATAGCAAAAACAACAAGCTGGGCAAACTGACAACATTGCCTTTAAAGTGAAAGTGAAAACTGATCCATAGCAGATATAAGAATGAACACGAAAAACTATAAGAAAATGTTTAAGACAATTTTTGCTATACATTGAATTGCTGGGTCAAATCAAGCTGATGTAAAGAAAGTAGAAAGTGGAGTTATTCTTCCCTCCCCACAATCAGTGGTACTGATTGTGGGGAGGGGAGAAGGGATGGATTGAAGAAGTGGTGGAAGTGAATTGGATTGAAGTGGGAAGGAAAAGACATGACTGGAGTGAAGAAAGTGGATTGGAAGTGAAGTGAAAGATTGTGGAGTGCAATAAAGTGGATACAAAATGCAATGGAGCATATATTATATACAGTAATGATGAAAAGGTAAATTATACACCGTGAAAAGATGAAAAAACGGATGCTAGTCCTTCGTCAGAGTAAAAGACTAGCGTCCGAAACGTCAGTAAGTTTTTTCATCTTTTCACGGTGTATAATTTACCTTTTCATCATTACTGTTTCATTAGAAACACCGACGCAGCTCACACTAGTTTTTAGCTAGTTATATCTTTTTATATCCATATATTATATACCTAAGAGGCATGGAGAATAGATGCACCAGATATTATATAATGATTTGATTACTAAATTACAGAAGAGCACTTCAAAATATATTAAGCACACAAAAAAATTACAAAACTGCCTATAACTGAGAAACTAATATTCCATTCACACCAAGGCTTAAACATGTTTTAAAGTGGTTTAACTAAACAGGTTTGGAAAACTATCTACGAACACTGCACAATATTTGGTGAAATAATGCGTGTAAGCTATCCTTTGTCTTGCTCTGATAATATTTTAGAAAGTTTCATTATATTGTAGGTTTCTAGTTTCTCAATTTTTTTCCTAATGAAAACATAGTTTAACTAAACACGTTGATGATGATGATGATGATGATGATTTATATAGCGCCCTTTCCTATGTGGATATCATCAAAGACGCTTTACATTGAGTTGTGAATGACAGATTGCTTTTTTAAGCAATTTATAAACATGAGAGATGGTTAGTATGAAGTGGAGGAACTGAGGGTGGTCACTGCCAGGGTTTCTTTTTACTTCCTCAGTGGTTCTTTTATGTCCCCCATTTACTGTTGGTTGGGAGACAGGGCCTACGGTTTTAAGTCCTTGTCCGAGAAGACTTGAAGGTCAAACCGTTTGCAGATATAATTACAAAGGCAGCACCTTCTCCTCAGTTATTTAAAGACCCTGAGTGTTGGTCCRGCCGAGGCTTGAACCACGACCTCCCGCACAACAGACCGTACGCTCTTACCAACTGAGCTAACCAGGTGGCCATTAGGTGTGAATGGGGTATAAGTGTTTTAGTGTCTCAGATTCAGGGTAAATGATTAATATTATGAGATTATTAATAAGTGTTGAATTCAAATATCTCGAATATTGCATGATGTATATTCCCTTACCTGACCAGCAGTATCGATCAGCTCTAAGAGAAATTCCTGTCCTTTGTATTTTACGCTTTTCGTAAAAGCTGAAATAAAAACAAGGGGTTTGAAGCAAATGAGGTAAGGGACGGATCGTTTATTACGTCCCAGGGAGGGGGGGGGGGG